CGTTATCGCGCAAGGTATGCGGTGGTGTAAGTTTCACCTATTACTGACTGATGACTACAACTACGATGTTAGTGACGTATTGTTCTGCCAGTAGCATGGTCTTATCGCATATTTCAGTTTATGAGAACTGATGCTGATTGTTTGTATAGATCGATGTTTAAGTCACAATAATACCTCTGTCGTCTGACGTCTACACTGATCTCTTCGAAGTTGGTCTGCTGTTGGAGGTTGTCTTAAAAAATTGACAGAATTTTAGTACATAGAAGTTAGGATATCTTAATACTGAACATCATTCACTAGTGACAAGTGATTCTTTGGATAACTTATTATGGGATTACTCTGCATAAATTTTATTAAGCATCATGTTTCGAGTTTGCTGCGTACTTAACCGTGGTCAAAAGTTTTCATGTCAGATATTGATGCAATGGCCTCCTCACTAATGGGGATAAGCATTGTATGATGTTGACATTCCGTTAGTGATTAACAATGGGCACTGTTCATATTAGCGCTATTTTCCCGGTCGAAACGATTATTCGGCCAAATAAACATTGCTTTTTTTCTCTTGCTGTCTAAAGCACTTTTCGCCCCTGAATCTGATATGGACTTCCGTGGACTAGGTGAATATACGTTGATTTTACCATAAGTTCTTCTGTTCTTTCTCTCTTGAGTCTGCATTTGCCTGTTTCGATGCTCCGTGTGACGCCGAAAGTTACCCATATTTCTCCAAAAGTGTATAATAGTTTTTCTTACAGCAGCTTTTTTCTGACGTAGTATTGCATTTGTGCAATTAACTCCGAGGATCAGGTTTAAATCACGGTCGATTGCTTCGTTATTTAGTATCCTTAGGTATAAATTTTTATGAATAATCCCGGCGTCCCAATGTTTCAGTAATTGTTTTCTCCTGCTTGGATGGCGAATTTTATATGTAGTAAATAATTATTCAATGATGCCTAATCATGATTGTTTTTAACTCGCTTACCTCGCACTGGATATAATATCTGCATGTTTCTCAACGTTTGGGATCGTTATGAAATCATCTTCCAGGGCCGTGCTGCACAAAGAGTTTTCAGTCACGTTATGCTTTGAGAACTGTTATGCAAAATTTCAGCTGAAGATGGATTCAGTGCGATTCGAAATGTTTTGTAAGTAATTAATATTATAACTCTGCTTAGTCAAACCTGTTATCTCGATGAACAACGTTTACCCGTCACTTCGTTTTCCATGATCGCTTTTGTCTTGGGGTCGCGCACGCACAAACATCAGACAGTGCTTCAAACACTACCGTTCTGAACTTAAGACGAAGACATCCGCGGTCTAGGACAGACTTCTTCAATACACTTGCACCAAGTTATTCGTGGTTGTCCCCTAAGTCTCCTGCAGGTCGGTTTGGCCTGTATTACTTGCTTCGCCTTCCTTTCTGGGAGCAATCGCAACACGTGCCGAAACTATCGTAGCTCTGATTCCAAGGTCTTAAGAAGCACCAGCTGTATACCAAGGGTCTCTCGGATTTCTGTGTTCCGGATCATACCGTGACACGTAAGGCCATCGACTCGTCTAAGAAAGTCCATCTCAGCAGCTTGTACCTGGGTTCCAAGTTTTTTAGTGTTGGTCCACGATTCATGACCGTAGGTAAGTATGAGGATAAAGATCGACTTGAACACCGAGAGCTTAGTTTTCAGACTGAGCTCTGCTTTAGTCACAATGGATCAGGCTAGTTCACGCAGAACGCCGCTGGCTACTCCAATTCGCCGGTCGATCTTTTCCTCCAACTTTCCATCACTAGTAAATATAGTTCCGAGGT